ATTAAATTCATTTTGTTTGTTTAACTTCAAAATTGATTGGGATTTAATTTAATTGATTGTTATGTTCAACTGCCTTCAATGTTCCTTGGTTTCCCCACGAATACCTCGGGGCGTAGAATACACGAGCAACCGAGTCAGCGAGTATTAGGTGGACCGGAGTTTCGGTTCATAATTGAAAGCTGACTCTGAAGGCTTTATGACAAATAGCATGCAGTAAAACTTTCAATAGAAAGAAAATTATTTCTCAAACTGAAATAGGCACTTAAGTGCAGTAAAATAAAGTTTTGATAACAAAACTGTCTGGGCTTACAGTGCTTGAATCAGTCAGTTTTTAAAACTTTTAATTGTGAAGTCCAGAGGATTGTATTTGTTGCTGTCTATTGCAAATAAGATGCTACATATCCTTCCAGATTGAAGACTTGAATCAACAAGCGCAGGTGGCAGCTGCAGAGAAATTTAAGGCTCCAGAAGTTTCACAAGCAGCTGAGGCAGGAGGCAGCACAGCGGTAAGATAGGCTTAAAGGGCGCTGTATTATGTGAATATAGGCCACGTGCATATAGAAGCTACTTCCGTCTGTCGAGAAGAAGAAGAAAAATTAACGAAATGTCATTTGGATGGCACGTCAGCATTTTTAAATTACTTTCCCTAAAGTACTAGTCAATTTTAATGATTGGTACACATTGCTTGCCAGTGTTGCAAACGTGCAGTTTTGAGTATCGTAATTGCAGTATATCTGTGGGTGATGATTGATACGAGAGAGGGAGGTTAAGGTGGTTTAGGAGGAGGGACTGATTTGGGCTGAACCCTTCTCACCAGAACACTCTCTGGCTGTAGCTACAGATTCGGTCGGCAACGTCTCTCCGGCTGGGCACTTCCTTCGGGTCGACATTGGTTTGTATGTGTTTTCACATTGAAGTTTCCCGTCCTGTTTTGCCGGCAGTGAGCCGTGTCGTGGGGCTTTTGTTTTTTGTTTGTGATAGTTTTATCAGTGACCCCTGGTAATGTGTATGTATTGCTATTTGTATTAACCCTTTAGCATAGGGGCATTTAAATTCCCAGTCTATACTGTGCAGTGGGAGGATTTTCTGCTTGGAGATTTAATTTTGAGCTTGAAAGTGCATCATTTTACTTATATGGGCACAACTTCCCTAATAATTGATGAATTTAAGTGAAACTTTGAATAAAATGTTCACAACACACTATGCGTCCGTCGTCTACAGTTCTATTAATGTCTTGAGGAGACATAATCGCGGCTGACTGACGGCAGATATGTGCTATAGAATCTGTTCATACCAAGGGGAGAACAGAGAATGCATTGACTCAGCTTATTGATATCATATACCGTTGCAAAGCTTGCAATGTGTCCTACACAGCTGTCGTAACCGTAACTATATTACTCCATTCGTCGTCGCTAGACGGAGCCACAGAGCAGAGACTGAATGCAGTTGAGTTCAATAATCGATCTATATTTCAAAGTCGAAAAACACTGATTAAATCGATCTGTCAGAGTCATGTTATATATCAATCGATAGCCAGCTTTTTTCTCTACACGGCTACTGGAGCCAGAATACATAAACCACAAGGTCAGTCGCTACATAGAAGGAGAAATCTTAGCGGGCAATATGTGAGCAGGGCTCGGCAATCCACGCTGTGTGATGATTAAGTCATGACGAGCGCTGTTCGGCACTCCTAATTGTACATATTTCTAAAAGATGTGGCAATTATTTATTTTATTACAATTCATTTGCATAAATAAGTTATATTTTTGTGAGATGCCTGTTGTTTAGGCGACGATACAAACAGCAGTAAAGAGAAATTTGTGTTGAATATCAAAAGTTGGTGTCTGTGTAAAACTAATTAACCGCTTGCGCCATGGGGGAAACTACCGAACAATGGAGGGCCGCAGTTGGCCGGTGGAATGGCGGAAGACCTGGGAAGTGCGTGATCATGGAAAGTTTCGCTGGTAGAAAACGTGATAATGACAGTTTCAGGTGGTTCAGCTGTTTTCTATTGGCTTCGATCCTTGTTATGGGCTGTGTTGAACTGAATCCGGGCCCAAACGGAGTAGAGGTAAGATCAGAAATTCTTTTAACACACATTTATGCCCATGTTTAAGTTTCATAGGGAACGTTACACATTGAATGTCATGGGGATTCAAGAAATATAATCCATTTCCATAGGAAGTGGAACGTCGTTAAAATTAACACAAAGCAGATTTAACAGGAGATTCAGATGCTGATATTATAATTTCTTGTGGGGATGTAAGGGGTTTCTTGTCAAGGTTATAACTTTCATTTGATGGAGAAATTGTGTGAAAATAAAATGTCGGGAAGGATAATGGAGATAATAATAATAATGAAACCGGCCATATTAGCATGAAATTGTGAATTATAACGTGCACCAAAGTAAATGCAACCCAACAACATTCACTTGCTCCAGAGCAAAAAATTATATCATAAAGTGGTCTAACCCCGTATAACAGACCTTTCCAGACTTTGTTCGTGGTTACTGGTTACTAGGGCGTTGCTCACGCCAGTTGCAAGAAAGTTGTGCAGGTGCAAACATGGCTTATTCGCAAGGAGAACGTGTGTCCTTTCTCTTTTTCCGATCTTCGTGAAACATTTTGCAATGCGTATACTCACAAGGAAGTAACAAATAAGACAACAATGCTTCGGCAGTTTCTCAAGTGTTTTGAGATTCAATTAACGATACCAGAATCTTTTTCTTCATTTCACTTCTGTGTTGGAACAAAATATATAGTACTGCTGGTAACATAAATGGGCCATGGACCAAACTGCGAAAACAACTATTTTATTGCAGAAATTATTCTGCGAGCACATTGTTGGAAGTGGTCGTGGCCATATTTTACCTTTCCAGATTTTAATGCATGGAATTTCTGAAACAAAGATTTTTTATATTAAATTGTGAAGCTTGGAGGAACTGAAAGAGACTTGCCAAACATTGACACGGAAACACTTCGAAAAGGCGCGTAAAACACACTACATATCTGGATGTTTATGTTCTAGAAGGCTCAGGACCTTCTCAGCATTTGCTGTATAGTTGTTCTATAAATTCTCACTAACAATTAAGAACGAAGTAAAAAATAACTCGTCTCTCTTGTTGTTATGCATGCCACCAAAGCATGGAAATACTTTGTTAATTCGTATTGCGTCCTAAGCGTACATTCCTATATATGACAAATGTATAAATTTTGCGAATTGGGAAATCACTACCCAGCTGTATCTACGTATGATGTGTATTTTATCATAAATGACATCATTTTATTTCTTTCGTAACAACTAAAGGCCTACCAGTGTAAGACATTTATTTCATTGCAATTCTGAGAATGGCAAACACTTCTTTCTAGTTTATTCTACATGCAGAACGTGATCACTGGACACTTTGGTTGTGCCAATCATAGATCATGATTTACCCAAAGAATCCTTGCGTCACAGTCACTGGATTCCAAAGAAGGTTATCTCGTGACAAGTTCATAAATTTCACATAAAGATTTATTGTTTACTTATCAGGATGTGAAGTGTTAAACAATTGGACTGATACTAAGCCTTATCTATAATCTTTTATGGTTATAAATATTATCTTACATTCATACAGACAAACAGTTTAAATGGGTTTCTTTAATACGAGGCTCGTCCACAAAGTACGTTTCCCTGGGGCCGTTTACAGAAACAAAACACAATTTCATGGAAATATTTATTGCAACAGATACAGCAAGTGTCCAGCTATTTTTCAACATATTCGCCACCGGAAGTGAGACATTTGTCATACCGTGGGACCAACTTTTGAATACC